TTTCAGCATCCACTTAGTCTCCATTCCACATCACACCCCAGCCTCAGAGATAAACCCACTTCTCCCAGACCAGACCCCTAAGTAAGCTGAGCAAAGATTTCACTCATACCTCTACAAAGAAAATACAAATGCCACGACAGCACCAGGGCAAGTGTGGAGCAGGGAGAGCAGAAGAGTCATACATGTGGGTGCAGGTTAGGGCAAAGAGAACCAGAAAGACCTTTTCCTGCCCATGGGGAAAAGATGCCAATGAGGAGAAGTTGGGACAACAGAGCAGAACGGGAAATCCCCCTTCTTAGCTGAACCTGAAAGGCCTATGGGAAGGTCAGGTCAGGAAAGAATCAAAACCTCCAGAAGCCAGGGAGCACTGTTTCCCACTATAGGGAGGCACTACAGGTCTGAGGAATGGGGACAGGCAAGACCCCACAGATTCACACTCACCTACTTGGTAAGTGACAGCATTCTCTTGCCTCCCCAGGGGTCTTACTGTCATCAAGAGATAGTGATGGAGCTCTCCAGTCTCTCTAAAATCTGCATGAAAGCATGGTAGGAAAGGCCAACTAGACTTCAGACCCTCATCCTTCCCTCAGGGGCTGGTTTCACTTAAAAATACTTCTGCAACCATCAAGACCAGTGCTGCCCGATGGAACTTTCTACACTGATGGAAATGTCCTCTCTAGGCAGCCACACAAAACAGCTGGCAACTCAGTTGTAGTTACTGAGCACTCAAAAAGGTGACTGGGGTGACTGAGGGACTGAATTTTTTAAGCTACATAGCTACAGGTTAAATTTAAAATAGCTACAGGTGCTAGTGACTGGCATCCTGGACAGTACACAGAACCAGCTCTTGAAGGCCTGTACCACCTGAGTGGGACCTATATCTTCCTGTCACAAAGCAAGAATAATATCACCTCTTTCCACAGTCCCACTTACATGACAGCCACCAGACATCTAGGATCCAGCCCATCAAAAGGGGAATGGCCTAAGACCTGGACTAAGGAGTAGGGACAGAGGCCATACTCTATGCCTTTTGTGGTGCCAAGAGACATTCCCAAGGGTGGGATTCATTGACATCAGACGTTGAAGGGACATTCCATTTGGTTAATTCACTAAGAATTACAGGCAGCAGGCTCTATGTCTCCAAAGGAAATCATCTGACAGCACACTGCAAATCCACCAGCCAGGTGCCATGCCTTCTCCTCACTTCCTGATAGAGTAACACCAAAGCTAGAAGGGAAGCCACAGTGAGTGGGTGCCAGGATATCATTGAGATGCCACCTGCCTCAATGATCCTATGCCACAGGCAACAGGACCGGGAGGGGGAAGATCCCTTGCCCACAGTCCCCAGCACCACACAGCCACACAGCGCCTCACCAGACAGAGCCGCCTCTGTGGCGCCAGCAGCCAGGGACGCCCCAACCTGCCCTTGCTAACGGCAGAGATTTCAGCTGCCACCCCCACAGCCCCACAATGCCTTTCCTGGCTCTGCGCCCCTGAAAGCCAGGGCAGCAGCAGAGGATGAAGAAGTGATCCCGGGTTGGGAGCAGGAATGACACTGGGTTTGAGAACAGAAGGAACTCGGATGATGAAGAAGAGATACAGTGCTGGGTAAGGGGGGACACTGGGGATCAGAAAGGCCTCAGGTTTACAAGAACCAACAGGATGGGCAGCAGAATGGTTTCCAGATGGAAGGGGGAGCTGCCACCAGGAGTTTGAGAAGCATGGGAAATCCACCTGGGGTTTGGACAGAGGCTCTCAGATGTGGGGGGAAGAGACAAAAATGAGGTGGAGAGAGGGAAAGGGTAGTGGCTAAAAAGTAAGCAGGTCAGGGGGCTTGGGTAGAATGGGAGACCCTGAATGTAAGGAGGGGGGCTAGGGTTCTGGGGAGACTGGGACTGAGAAGCCAGGCCAGTGGCGGGGAGAGGAGCCAGACTGAGGCAAGAGAGCTGGACAGGGATTAAATGTGGGAAGCACAATTGAAAGTCGCGGGGCAAGAGCAATGGTCTGAAGGGTTGGGGTGGTAGGTAGTCAGGTCCGAGAAGAAACTGCTCTGGCCCTGGTCTAAGAGAAGCAGGACTGAAGGCAAGAAACGGTTCTTCAGGCCCTGGGGCCCAGGGAGAATGAACATAGCCTAAAACCAGATGGGGGCCCAGGCGGCATGGGGGGTCAAAGTAAGCTGAGGACACAAGTCCAAAGAGAAGGGACACTCTAAACAGGCCTGAGTCCTTGTGGCAAAAGACGGAAGGCTGGGGTCGCGGGAAGATGAGGGGGGTCAGCAGAGGGTGCAAGGGGAAAGGGATACTCAGGAAAGGTAGCAGTGGATGAGAGGGGAGGGCAGGGACCGTGGCCTAGGAGGGAAGGAGGGGTGAGGGCAGTTCTGGGGACACTCAAATCTGAGTTAAGGCTGAAGGGAGAACAGGCAGCAGGTTGCAGGGAGCGGGTCAAGGAGTCTGAGTCCAGAGAGAAAAGGAGACATGGGCTGGTCCCGGACCCGAAATGAGAAAAGGATCGGGCAAAATATGGGGAGAGTCCCCAAAGAGGCCCGAGGGGGCTCCTGCGCCGGCACAGGGCCCCCGGAGCCGTCTGTGAGGACGCTGGGCCGAACGGGGGTCCCCAGAGGCACCAAGAGGGCTCTGAGTCCGCGGGGTTCGGAGGGGCAGCACGAAGGGTCCCGGGCCAGGCTGGGGCTCCTGGAGCATCCCGAGAGTCTGGGTCGCACTAGAGTTCCGAGGGGCGTCCCAGGCGGCGCGGGGCCAGGCCGGGCCCGGCCGGGGCCCCGGGGGGCTTCTGGGCCGCCGGGGCCGGGCGGGGGGCGCAGTGGGGGAGGGGCGCGCCCGCCCCACATAAAGGCCCGGGCAGCGGCGGGCGCGCACAAAGCGGGGCGCGGGGCGCGCGGGGAGGCCGGGACCGAGGAGGGCCGGGCGGGCGGAGGGAAGGAGGGAGGGGTCCGGGCGGCGGCGCGGCCGCTCCTCACCTGATTGTCCATGGCTGGCGCCCCGCCCCGCCCCCGGGCCCCGCGTCGCTCGCCGCCGCCGCCGCTCAACGCCGCCCCGCCGCACTCATTGTCTGTCAGGCGCCGCCGCTCCGGGCCGCCCGCCCGCCCGCCAGCCCCGCGGAACCGGAAACCACCGCCAGCCCGGGCCGCTCATCGACCGCGGGCCCCCGCCGCCGACTCGGGCCCGCCGCCCCGACGGACAGCAACCTGGGCCAATCCACGGGACCGACCGCCGCTAGTACGGCGGGACTTCCGGCCTGGTGGGGGCCTGCCGGGCTGCGGTCGGAGGGACGAAGCCCTCAGCCAATGGGAGGCCGGGACCAGAGGGGCGGGAGGAGGGAGGGAGGGAGGCGCGAGGCGAACGCGGCCGAGGGGAGCGCGAGGTGTGCGCCGCACGTGGAGGGGGGCGGGGGCGGGACGGGCGCGTCGCGCCTGCGCAAAGCGGCCAGGCAGCCAGGCGGGAGCGTCTCTCCCGCGTCCCCCAGGTTGCAGCTTGGCCCTCTGGGGAGTGAACCCCGGGGGCATTTGTCTTGCGGCTGTGAATAGCTACTGTGTGATGGAATGAGCTCTACAACTAGGGATTCATTTTCAACCTTGAATCTGCGTGTGCTCGCCTCGTCCTGAATCTGTCTCTGCATCTGTAAAATGGGGACAAGAATAGCAACGGCCGATTCTGCTCGGACCGATTGGTAGGATACATATTTGACATCGTGCTTCGCTAAAATAATCAAAAGAGCCTCCTTCTCTCAGTTGGGGGGAATAAGTTCTGGTATCTTTTGCACAGCAAGGGGACCATAGTTAATAATGATGTGTGTTTATTTTATGTATTTATTTAGAGACTGGGATCTCGCTACATTGCCAAGGCTGGGTCTCAAATTTCCGTGCCCTAGACATCCTCCTGCCACAGCCTCCTGAGTGGCTGGAACTACAGGCACATGCCACCATGCCCAGCAAATAATGACATATATTTCTAAATTGCGAAGAGTGTTTTTTTGTTTGTTTTTTGTTTTTTATTTTTTGTTTTGGTACTGGGGATTGAACCCAGGGGTGCTTTGCCACTGAGCTACATCCCCGGCCCTTTTTATTTACTTATTTTTGAGACATGTCATTAGATTTCCCAGCTGGCCTTGAACTTGCGATTCTCCTTCCTCAGCCTTCTGAATTGCTAGGATTACAGGCTTGTGGCACTGCGACAATAAGAGTGGATTTTAACGTTTTCGTGACAAAAACAATAAATATGAGATGACAGATATAGTGATTACCCCAAGTTTCTCATTCACAGTGTATACTTGTATGGAAGCATCACCTTGTGCGGGTGAGTATATACAAATGTGTCAGTAAAAATTTTAAAAGTCTTTGCAAAGGGTGGGGGGCTGGGGTTGTAGTTCAGTGGTAGCACCCCTTGCCTGGCATGTGTGAGGCTCTGGATTCCATTCTCACCACCACATATAAATAAATAAAATAAAGGTCTCAACAACTAAAATATATATCTATATTTTTAAAAAATTGTTAAAGTCTAATGCATGAAATTTTAAATAAAATTGTTCTCTCCAACTTGTGGTTTTAATTTTTAGGATCACAAATTTTCACAGGGACTTGTCAGCGGTTTTTAGGTTAGAAACGGACATACCTGGTCTTTCTCAGGATTGGTGAGTCACCAGTCTTTGGAACCTTAGGACGTCTACGTGCAATTAGGGGATCCCTGTGTATGTATTTTAAATAATTTCTTATAGTTAAAAATCAGGTGGTTTTGGTTTGTTCAGGGAGGTTTGCCCTCCAATTCTCATTTAAGTATCAGGTAAGCCTTTGTTAGGTGGGACAAGTGCTTTGTCCTGAAGACCAGCAACAACAAAAAACAGTGGAATGGAAGTTTGTCTAAGAAGGCCAGATCGCTGTTATGATAGCACTACCATTCTTTTGAATTTAGGGTAGGTCAGGCTGAAAACAAAAATAAAGTGAAGGTGATGCTGAGAAAATAAGCAGCAACTTTAATGTTGGTGCAACTCTTTATTTTCATCATTATACCTGAATACTGTAAGTAGATCAGTAGGTGGTCCCCAAATCTGCAGTGTCAGTCCCACCTGGGAACTCTGTTAGGAATACAGATCCTGACTCCCTCTCCCGTTAATAGAATCAGAAGCTCAGTGCTTGCCCAGCACTCAGTAGTTAAGCAGCGCTGCAGATGGCTGAGGTGGCTGGTCTTTCAGAACACCACCCAACCCCAGGAAAAGGAACAGAAGTGGGGAGAGAGTAGCCATCTGTCTCTGAAGGAAGCTTTCAGGGGAGAACCTTTGAGCTACAATTGTTACCAAGATGAGCTTCAGAAAGCCCTCTCCCTACTCAGCTGGGAAATTATCCTTCCATCATGTTCTGAACTATAACTTTCAAAATGCATCCCCGGGGGCTCCTGCTGGTGGAGCTGGATGCCTTGGAGAGTCAAAAAGGATAATGAGGAAGCAACCCAGGTGTTAAATGGAGAGAGACAATGCAGTCCACCATTCAGTGGAATATCATTCAGCCTTAAAAGGAAGGAAATTCCAACACCTGCTACAATGTGGATGAACCTTGAGGGCTCCAAGCTTCATGAAACAAGCCAGTCACAGAAGGACAATACTGTACGGTTCCATTCATAGGAGGTCCCTAGAGTTTTCACATCCATAGAGACTGGAAGTAGCACAGTGGGTGCAGGCAGCTGGGGAAGAGATGGAGGAATGGGGATGGAGTTTCAGTCTGGGAAGATGGAAAGTTCTGGAGGTGGATGGAGATGATGATTGCACAGCCATGGAGATGTGCTGAACGCCACAGAACTGGACATTTGAAAATGATTTAAAGGTTAAAAAATATAGAGAGAGATATAGATATATATGGAATGACTACTCGGCCCTATAAACATATAACTTATCCATGAGTCCATTTTGGAGCAACAAAACTCATTCACAACCTTAGAAGGTGACCTTCATCTCCACTTCTCCACTTCTGATAATCTGAAACCAGCCCCTGTGGATGCCTGCTAGATGCCAAGAAGGAGAAATAAATTTTCAACAGAAGAGCCATGCTGTTGTCATCCTAGTTCAGTGAACATTGTTAGCAACACAATCTATTTTGTTCATGCATCTGCACTTTGGGCAACATGGACAGCTAGAACAACCCCTGTGGTTGCAGAATCACCCTCCAACACGGCTCACTCATCCACAACTGCCAAAGTTAGTGCTGGGTTTCTCCTCAGGGTGGCTTGGGCTTCCTTGTGGCATGGCGGCTGAATCTCAAGAATAAACGTCCCAAGAGAATCAGGCAAAAGTTGCATGGCCTTGTATAAACTAGCCTTGAAAGTTACATGGAGTCACTTCCACTATAGTCCAGGCACACCCAGGTTCAAGGGGGAAGGAACAGAGACCCATCTGTTCACTGGAGGAGTGTAAAAGTTACATTATAAGAAGAGCATGTGGGGCAGGAAGAGTGGCACACACCTGTCATCCCAGTGACTTGGGAGGCTGGAACAGAAGGATCCCAAGTCCCAGGCTAGCCTGGGCAACTTGGTGAGACTGTCTCAAAATAAAAATTTCTGAGGAGTTCAGTGGTACAGCACCTCTGGATTCAACTCCCAGTACCACAAAAAAGAAGAAAGAGGAGGAGGAGGAAGAGAAAAAAAAAGATGGAGGAGGAGGAAGAGAAAGGGTAGAAGGGGAACAGGCATGTGGGGTAGAGGTACTGTTGTAGCCATTTTGGAAAATGTACATTTTTCCAAAACATTATCTCCAAAACCCTTACCCTGAGTAATTACAGATGATGATTACAAATGTTATTTAATTTGCCCTTAAATAAAGTGAAGCCCTTAGTCTGCAGCATTATCTGCAAGGTCAAGGACCAGAAGGGTAGCCTGGTGTGGACACCCCTCTCTTACGTCTTCCCTCACTGCCTGCTGCCTGCTCTCTCCTGGACACACTGAGCAGCCTCTGCCTGGAACCATCTCCCCTAAGAGGCCACTTGGCTCCCCACTTTACCTCCTCCAAATCTTTGCTCAAATTACCTTCTCAGCGGGATCTCTTCTGACTACCTTATTTAATCCTGTCACTCCGCCTTAGTCCCCCAATGCTCTTCCTCCTTTTTTAGTTTTTTCCCTGTTTCCCTTACAACCTACTGATACACACACAGTTGCTTATTAAATTTTGTCCATCTCCCCCAGCTCGAATGGCAGCTCCCAGAGAACAATAGTTTTTTTTTTCTTTTTCGTGATATATTCTAAGCATAGTGCCTGGCACATAATAGGTGTTCGATAAATATTTGTCGCAAAAATGAAATGATACTGAATAGTGAAATGCTTAGCTTCTTGTCATTTTTTTCTAGTCCCCCTGATTTCTTCTAAGAGAATGTGTTAGCTTCATGCTTATTCAACTTTGACATCTCCCTAGCAACTTTTTAAAAATGCAAATTTGTGAGAGAAATAAATGAGCATTATTTTTTTAAGTCACCTGTCTTGATGACAAAGAAAGCAGCCTTGGGGGTCAGACCCAACCTTGTAGGTGATAGTTTCTAGTGCAAGGTTTCCCAACCTTATCTGACATTGAAATCTCCTGGGGACCTTTAAAATATACCCAGGCTCTGCCCCAAGAACTCTGGCTTCCTTCTTGGGGAGCCGCAGAGACCACCCCTCTGCTTTCCTCCCCCCTCAGTGGGGGATTCCAGAGCCCCTGGTTTGAGCAGCACTGAGCTACCTTTACTAACACTTCTTGTGTTACTGTATCTAGTTTTGTGGATACTTTGGACCTATAACAAATCACTTACCAGAGGATACAATGTTTCCTATTTTAACATATCAATGTAAGCAAAGAGAATAGATTTTTTTTAAAACAGAAAAAATGATTATTTGAGGATCTGTAATTGGTCCTGTTAAATCTGTTTAACGGCAGCATCTTACATGCTATCTCAATGTCACAAAAAATGAAACAGATATAGACAGGGCATTCCACTCCCGCCCCCCAGGCCCCACACAGAAGAGCAGTTTGCCTGCCTTTTGACATCTGCTCCGTGCCCAGCCCGGCTCCATCCAGTCTCTGCCGCCCTCTAGTGATCCGGTTTGTTTGCACCAAGGGGAGGACCTGAAGGTTCACCTGCATCTCCCCTTGTAGATGGTCCAGCCCTTGGGCACATTTTTGGACCCTATTTCAGGCTTAGCCTGTGCTCTCTGCACCTCACAGTTTGGCAGCCAGCCACAAAAGTACACACAGCCACCTGTCACAATGTCAAAGGTGACACCAGGGTGACCATCTCCAGCAGCGCCTCGTGGCCAGCCAGCAGAGACTTGCTGGAGTGTGGGTCTTTAAGGCAGAGAAATTCTTGATTGTCACACTGAGGCCTTGGACATCCAGAAGCAATGGGGAACCCGGAATGGTTTGGGAGTGAACCGAAAATCTGTAACAAGAAGACCTGCTCAAAAGCAGCAGCACCCTGAACATTTGGATCTCCCCTCTTAAACCACCCCCTTTTCTGATAATGGTCTCTTGATTTGGGAGCTCCCTCCTCCCAGGGCCAGTGTAAGCATTTAAGGCACTCTGAGTGAAGTTTTGGACAATGCCAGCTAATGGCAGGTCACAGGGCTTCAGAGAGGACTGCTGCCCCCAGCTGCCCCCTCCCCCACTCTCAGACCACACACCCTGTGGAACTACCCTGTCCCCACTCCCAGTGAGGAAGTCCACCTCTGGCCTGAGTAATCCAAAGGCATGCATCCCTCTAGCTACTGGGACTGGTTTAAAGATGGGCCCATGACCTAAACTTGTCCATGAATGACTCTGGGAGTTTCTTAAATTCTCAATAGAGGTCAAATTTACCTGACATTACATTTAACCATTAACCACGTTAAAGTGCCAATCAGGGTGGTGTTTATAACTGTCACGATGTTGTGCAAACATCACCCCTGTTTCTGAGATGTGTTCATCACCCCAAAAGGAAACCATGCCCATAGAGCCATTAGTGACTCACACCCCTCCCTGTTTTTGGCAACCACAGAATGCTGTCTCTGTGGATCTGCCTGCTGCGCACATGAAAGTAAGCAGACTCAGTAGGTGCCCTTTTATGTCATCTGTTGGTAAGCACTGTTTGGATTTCACACCATGGCCACATAAGCCAGGAAAGAAAGGAAAGAGAAATGGGGGAGAAGCTTCTCCTACCACTTCACCCCCCCCCCCAGCCACCCTGAGAGATTTCTGAACTGAGGTTCTTAATTTTGGGGGGTGGGGGGTTTACTGGGAATTGAACCCCAGGGGGTGCTTTATCACTGAGCTACACCCCATCCCTTTTTATTTTTATTTTTAGATAGAGTCTTGCTAAGTTGCCCAGGCTGGCCTTGAACTTGTGGGCCTCCTGCCTCAGTCTCCCAAGTTCTGGGGATTATGGGTGTACCCCAGAAGTTTTTAACTTATAGGGGATCAAAGAGCCCTTTAGGGAATTTCATGGAAGCACATCTCCTATGCCCCCAAACATACCCAGACACACAGCATTTTGTAGATAATGTCACAATTTTACAGAAACTCCTCCTTCTAGTACCTCAATCAGCCACAAATGAAGATCCTCTGGTTTCTAAAACTAAGCAGAAAGAAGGACCCAGAAGCAGGAGACCCAGAATCCAGGTTCAATTCTACTGATGACAGTGATACAAAGAGTTTTGGGGAAAGGCTAACCTAGCTGTGTGGTCTTCGGCAGGTCACTTGCCCTCTCTGGGCCACAACTATAATATGTGAGTGTTCATGTCTATATGAAGGTATGCACTCCAGAGGCCTAGGTGATTTGCCCCAACACTAATCTTTTGCAGACAATGTGAAATGGTCATGGACACTGAAACCCATTCAGGGCTCTCAACTTAAGAACCTCCAACCAATGTGTTCCTCCTCATTTACTAAGTTTAGGCAACAGTTCGCTTTCTGTTGCTCTTGCTTGCAAGTTCACTCGCTCCACAGGGGGATGCTTGCCATCCCCTGGGCACCCTGCCTGAGCACCCATTTGAGAGGACGGCTCTCCAGCCCATCACTCCCTGGAACATCGCTAATTCACCTTCTCTGTAACACCCATTGGTGTCTCTAAGTGCCTTGGTCCTGTGTCTTCTTCTTTGTCTAACATCTGTCTCCTTCCTTGGGTTAGGGACTTCAATGTCAGCTGTCTTGCAAAGAGCCTAGTGTCTGGCCTGTAGCTGGAACTCCATGTGTACATTTGTTAAAGGGATGAATGAATGAATGAATGAATGAACAGGAGGAAGATGCACGGGAAGGGGAGTGGATAACTTAGGCAGATTAATGAATAAACAAATGGTTGGCTAAACTGAATGGATGGAAGGATGGATAGAAGGATGGATGAATGGATGGGTGGATAGATGGATAGATTAAAGGATGGGCAGATGGATGGGTGTTTGCAAGACATATACTAAGCATGTCACATACGTCAACTTGTTTTATGCACGTAGAAATTCCTATGAAGAAAGAAACACTATTTACGGACAAGAGGCTTGAACTTCAAAAGTAGGATAAATCACATCCTGAAGATTATACAGCCAGAAATGGTCAAGTGGGAATTCAAGCTTAGGTCTGTCTGGCCCCAGGCCATAGGCTCTTAACCACCCTGAAAAGCATCCTCCTACCCCACCACGCGGTACCAGCTGCCCAGCATGCTCCACGGTGCTTGGTTTGTCCAGTGTGGGCTTCCATTTCCCTCAGCTGTTTGCCCTTCATGACTTGCTCCCCATGAGTTCAGAGGCACGTGTGGGAGGTCTGTGAGGTCTCTGCATGCACTTGTGGGTATAGAATTGGGTGTCTGGGTTGGGTGCAGTGGTGTACATCAAATCCCAGCAACTCCGGAGGCTGGGGCCGGAGGATCACAAGTTCCTTGCCAACCTCAGCAACATAGTGAGACCCTGAGCAATTTAGGGAGACTTTGTCTCAAAGTTAAAAATAAAAAGGACTGGGGATGTGTCTCAGTGATAAAAGCACCCCTGTGTTCAATCCCCAGCACCAAGAAAGAAAAAAGATTAGGTACCCACAAGTCATGTGTGTTCTCTGGGATGCTCCCAAGTACCAGGGACATTGTCATCCAATGTCCAACCACAGACCCAGATCACCAATACATACAAGATGCCAGACAGCAAGCCTCAGCCTGGGGTCATGCCAAGCAGGTGACACATCACCCAGTCATCCCAGCAACTGGTGACTCGACCCCACCAGATCATGTGACATCTGCGGACAGAGAGGTGGAAGAGAAAGAGGCCGGGGCAGGTCATGGCAGCGGGAGGTGCAGGCAGTCCTCCCCAGGTCAGTAGACTGCTGCTCAGGACCACTAGGGAGCTCATCCCCTGCCTCGGGGCAGGGAAGTGCAGGACAAGGGGCCTGGGAAAGGGAAAGGTGAGGAACCGCGAGTGTCCCTCAGATACAGGGACCCTGCAGGTGGCCACAGCCTCAGCAGCTCTTGTCATCGCCCTGGACTTCTACATAGGGCAGCCCCATGGGCCAAGTGTCCCGCGGCCAGTAGCGGACTTTGAGGGTTTGGCCTGGCATCTCGTAGCTGGCGTCCACCAAGGCCATGGTGACCAGGCCGTAAGGGAAGGTGATGCTGATGAGCACGTGCCTGTGGGGTGCAGGGAGAAGGTGCTGAGGGCACTAGATGTCCCCGGGCCACCGCCTCCTCTCCTTACTTCTCGCGGATCTCGCTTTCCCAAGGGGCCTTCTGGGTCCAGTCCCCAGCCGCCGGCTCCCCCACTCCCAAGCCCTGGCGTCTGGGGGGGTCTCCTCCCACTCGGCCCCCACCCGTTTCCCCAGCTCCTTGCTCTAAGCCTGCGCTGAGGCTCTCTGGTGGTGGGCTCCCAGGTTCCAGGGCAGGTGCTCACCAGATGCTGTGCAGGTAGAAGAAATGAATCCGCTGCCAGAAGCTGCAAAGGAAGCGGTCGCTGATCCAGCTGGTCACAGCACAGGCCCATAAAACCACGGACACCTCAATCAGGTGCCGAAGCTCCTTATTGCTGGTCCTGGGGGGAGGGGAGGAAGGGAGATGAGGCTGGGCTCAGGCGGCAGAGCCAAGGGGCTGATGCAGAATTCCTCCATCCCAGATGAGGCTGGAGTTGGGAAGAGGGAAGGGGAGGGGTTGAGGGTTCAAGTTGGTGCTTGCTCTAGTTTGGATCTGGAATATTCCCCACAGACCTGGGTGTCAGAGGCTTGGTCCCCGCTTGGTCCTGTTGGGAGGAGCAGAAGCTTTTAGAGCAGGGCCGGGAGGGAGGAGGTCCGGCCACTGGTGATATGCCCTTGCAGCAAATCATGGCCCCCGGATCTCTTCCTCTTGCCTTTGCCTCTGGCCACAAGGAGAATGGCTCATTGCCACTCCAAGTGCCCCTGCCATGACGTGGGCCTCACCACAGACCCAAGAGCCACGGGGCAAACTGATCATGGCTGAAACCGCCACAGCCGTGAGCCAAGCGTGCCCCTCCTCTGTGTCAGTTGATTCATGTCAGGTGAGTGCTCCAGCAGCAGAGAACTGCTGAGAATTGACAGGACCCAGGGGCAGGTGTTAACCCAGTCCTCGCAGCACCTTTGTAAATGAGGAAACTGCGGTACAGGTGGTGACGTCAAGTCCCACCATGGTTACATGGCTGAGATGTGGCAGGGCTGGGATCCAATCCAAGTTGGTCAGATTGTGTAATCTGTGTTCCTATGGAGCAAGTCCCTCTATGTTTGTGTATTTGGGGTTATAAGCGTGTGTCCCTCTGGGTCAGTGCATGAAGACATGTGTCTGTGTATTGCAGGAGTGTGTCTATGTGTGTCACAGTGAGTGTGTGTCTGGGGTGGGGTGCACTCTCTGGAGGCTACGTCTGTGTTTCCCAGCAACAGAGCAACCCCAGGGCTCCTTGGCAAAGAGCGTGACCCGGATAAATGAGACAGCAGCTCCTTTTTGGTTAAAAGCTTAGACTGTGTTCACTCACCTAGAACTGAGCAGCCTCAACATCAAAATGCACTGTGAGAAAGAACTGGAGAGGTCAGCCTAAACCCTGTAATCTGGTTAACAGCTTTATATCAACATCGATTTCTTCCTTTTGAGATATACTTGTGTTGCATAAGCTGTTCCCTTTGGGGAAAACTGGGGAAGAGTACATGATAATTCTGTGCTATATCGGCAACTTTCTGTAAATCTGTAATTATTTAAAAATTTAAAAGTTTTTTAAAACAGTCTAATGACTGTCATGCATTAAAACATGTCAGAGATATAAAAACCTTTATGTTCATAATAAAAAATGTGCTTCGTGGGTCTCTACTAGAGACTCCTAGGGCACCAATTCATTACTCTGGAAGTCGATAGATAAAAGGAAAAAGTCGATTATCTATGCAACTTGTTCACCTGGATTTCAAGGTTGATTGGCAAAAGTCCTTCTGGGTGGAAAAACTCCAGGTAATGCCGGCAGAAAGGACAACAGAAGGTGCAGGCCACCCTTTCACTGCCGCTGGCCAGGTCATGGCCCCCAGCAACTTGGCTCAAGCTGCTGGAAGCTGGTGGAGAAGCATCTGCAAAGGGACCTGGTGAAACCAGCCAAATCCTCTAGCCAGCCTAACCCTCCAAGGGACCCGTCCATGGGGGACATCCAAACACTGCAGGGCTCTGGGGATGGACAGGAACCACCGGTGCCACCGTGAAATATTCTGGCCGAAACACAGGAAGAACAGACCTAGATCCAACTATTAATTTGCAGGAAATACAGGATACGAGAAAACTTAAAGATTCTAGAGGAAACGGTTGGCCAGATCCAGAACATAAATTGTGCTACAGACAAATAATTCTCTTTAAAAAAAAAAAATCAAAGGCATGAAGAAAGGGGGATGGGAGAAGAGACCTTATGAAATAAAGGGGAGCTGCGAGACCACGGTGAGGTCTTTATTTAAACACAACCAGGCACCTCTCAGAAACTGAGGCCATGTCCACACACAATGTTAGGTGCTGTCTTGAAGGAGCACCATTTACTTTGTACAGAGTGAGCGTGCCCTATACCTCCCATCTGTCTTTTGAGCCTGTCTCTTTCCTTCTCTATCTATCCCTGTGCATCTGGGGGATGTGTTGGGCTGTCCACCTGTGCAGACCAAATCCAGGGGCTCCCTTGTCCTTGAACTTCCAGTTCACTCAGCCATTAGTTTCCAGTTGGCTAGACCAAAGTCTTCTACTTGGATTGGCCAGTGGTTTCTACTTGGATTGGCCAGTGGTTTCTACCTGGATTAGCTAATGGCTTCCAGTTGGGTTGGTCAATGTGGAGCCCTGGCAGGGGCAGGAAATCAAAGGGGAAAAAGGAGGGTATTGTTAGGAGATTCACTTCTTCCATCAGGGTTGCCTCAGGCTGGATACAACCAGCAACTAGATATCAGAGTCCTGCTAAGCCTCCTCTCTCCTGGGGCTTCTTGGATCCTGTGGCCTCTTCCTCCTTCCTCCTCTCCCATGGCCCCTTGCCTCGGGTCTCCAGCTAGACCTAGAATCCCACTCTTATCAGCACAGAGGTGCTCAACAACCCCCAGTGGTTTTCCTATACCCTGACTTCTGTGTTGTGAATAATCTTTATTCAATTTTCCACAAATATCCCTGTTTGAGAAACCCTTCTCTATCCTGCTAAGACCCAATGTGGGTTAAAAACCATAATTATCAGGGGAGTTAGATCCTGAAAAGTTTAGAGTTGAAATATATATGAAATTTAGGGGAAAAAATGTAACCCATCAAGAGCAAAATGTCAATGGTTGCTGGGCTGGTTAATGGGTGAGTGGAGGTTATGGGCTATTCTCTCCTCTCAGATGCGTGTTTTAGGGGTTCACTGTAAAAAGGACAAGATCTTAGGTTTGGGTCCTGGCCCTGCCACTTGCTAGTAGGTGATGTTAGGGAAGGGGCCTCCCCTCCAGGGCCTGGAGTCAAGGAGTCAGTGCCCAGAGCGCGTGAGTTCTCGGGGTGACGGGCGGGGACACGAGTGTCTGTAGCCTCCACTTACTTCCGGTACTCGAGGTACACAATGTACAGGATGTGTATGGCGATGCTGTTGAGGGCGTATGCATTGACCGTGGGCTTCAGGAAGGACAGGAAGGTGCTGATCATGGTGGTGGCAATGACCAGGCAGGTGAAGTGGGACCTGGAGGGAAAGGGGCTCAGCTGTGAGTGAGTGGAGGCCCTGGAGGGTCAAGCATGGTTAACTTATGGTGGCCAGAGAGGGTAAGGAAGGAGAAAGTCTCTGGGAAGCCCAGGTAGGCCCAGGATGTGTCCTGAGCTTGGGCTCAGGAGAGTCAGGTGAAGGGTCCCAGGGAGGCCAAGCTGGGCCCAGGGCTGGGTAGGAGGATGAGAGGGTCTCAGGAGTCCAGGAAAGTTAGTCAAGGCTCCAGAGGCCGGTGAGTTCTGCAAGAGACTCAAGGGAACCCAGTAGGCTTGGAGGAAGATCCATGAGCCGCCGTGAATTAAGGAGAGGTCAGACAAAAGATCTCAGGGTCCCTGGAGGGACTGGGATGATGGGGTGTCTGGGGTGGTGAGAGGGTGGTGTCCTAGAAGCCTTAGATGGGTCACACAGGATCAGGGGAGGTTTGGAAGGGCCTCCAGTCAAGTCGGAGAGTCCCAGGGGCCCGGGAGGATAGATGAAAGATTCCAAGGAGTCCAGGTGAAAGACTCGGGGGAGGGATCCTGGGGCCCAGGAAGGCTTAGGCCCGGGTCCTGGGATCTCCAGGTGGCTCAGACAGTTTGGAGAAGGTTCCAGGCTATCCAGGTGGGATCAGGGGAGGGGGCACTGGAAGTCCGGGTAAGTGAGACAGGGTGGGGAGAGAACCCCAGGGGGTCTGGCCAGGGATTCTAAGGCCCCCAAATGGCTCAGGGAAGGATCCAGGGTGGGGGGCAGGTGAGGATCCACAGAGGTCCACAGGGTCCACAGAGAGTTCGAGTCCCACCCTGTCCAGACAGATAGCCCCTGCCCCACCTATTCCTTGCGAGGAAGGTGGGGAAGTAGCAGCGGGGCATCCAGATGCTGTAGCTACTGGCCAGTAGCCACAGGATGGCGATCTCATCCAGCAGCTGGCCCAGGAAGCTGAGCGTCATGTGGAAGTACATGGAGAACAGGCCTGGGGAGGCAGAGGCAAGGGGAGGTGTCAGGGGTGACCCGTGCCCACGCCCACCTCCTCTCCATGGCAGAGCCACACCTACCAATGATCATGAAGAGGACAAAGGTACCATAGATGCAGCGGGAGCGCTTCTGGGCGTAGGGGTGCATGAGGAACATCAGGAGTGGCCCAAAGATCAGGAAGGAGATGTTGCTGAACTGGAACAGAGATGTGGGAGGGGGCTTGTCAGGACAGGAGACGGCAGGGGCTTCCTGACTGAGTCCAATCCCTCAGTCCCAGCCGATGGATCATCTGCAACCTTCCGGGCAATTCATCAGCCCGAGACTTGTCAATCATTCACCTGTCACCCCTCCAGCTGTTTCTCTTCCTTCCTGCCTGCCTTTCTTCCTCCCCTCTCTCTTTCCCTCTCTCTGTCTGTCATGGTTCTAGGGATGGAACCCAGGGCCCAGGCAGGCTAGGCAAATGCTCCACCAGTGAGCCACACCCGCTGTCCTCAGCTGATGTGGACGGAGCATTGGTCAGCAGTAGACTCAGTACTCCACCCGTTACTCTAGGGGTTCATCCATTCACTCAAGAGTGCGACAAAGACGATATACTGACCTTCTATACATATTCTCCCCCTTTTCTTTTTAGAAGAAAACTCCATGTCCATAGGTTCTGTAACTATGGATTGAACCAACTTCAGATTGAAAATACTCAGGAAAAGAAAATAATTGCCTCTGTCCTGAATACGTACAGATTTTTATTCTGGTCATTTTCCCCTCAGCAACACAGTGTAAGCACTATGTCCACAGGATCAGTTACATTATATCAGGTGTGATAAGCTATCTGGAGATGATTTAAAGTCTATAGGAGGATTGTGTAAGTTCTATGCAAATAATAATGCCATTTAATATCAGGGACTTGAGCATCTGTGGGTTTCAGTACCTGCGGGGGTTCCTGGAACCCGTGGATAAAAGGGACCATCATAGTATCTTCCAGGTTTTAGCTGAGCACACAGCTACTCGATGGGAGAAGACAGTTTCCACCTGCCTCACAACTCCTGTGACTTGGTGACCCAGTCTGGCTACTGGGATAAGGACATAAAGGACATCTCTGCCTCCTGGTCAGTACTTAAGAAGCTACTTAAGGCTTGCCCTGTGTTGTCTCCCTTCCCCGTGAATTGAAATGTCGACATGGTGGTCATATGTTAGCTTCATAGACAAAGAAAGACGACACAGCACCCTAATGACTGCCTCCTAACTGTGTGAAGCAAAGATGGGGCTGTGCGGCTTCTAAGGTTAGATCATAAAAGGAGCTGTGGCTTCCACCTGACTCTCTTTATCTTAAAGCATGAGACCGTGGGCCCCTGAGCCACCAAGCGAGAAGCCTGGCTACCCTTGAAGCCACTATGTTGAGAGACCACACAGGATAGAGAGAGATGCTGGAGAACATCTGTTCCAGCCCCAGATGTTTGATTCTCCCCAGATCAGTTGCAGCACAATTCAATGAACCTTCAGATGATTCTAGCTGCACCCCAGCCTTCCAGCGATGCTAAGTAGAGATGAGCTGTCCCTGCCGAGCCCGACCTAGACCACAGATGAATTCATGAGTAAAAGTTGTCCTTGTTTCAGGTCACCAAATCTGAGGACAACTTGTTATGCAGTATTAGCTAGCTGAGACAAAAAGGAAATATTTTTTTACTGAGGGTCACAATGGCCAGGAAAAGCTTCCTTGGGGAAGAGGAGGAAAAATAGAGACCAGGAAATATGGCTGCACCTGTTCAGAGCCACAGGAGGGCATGGCTTTGCGTTTGAAGGTTATCTGTGGCTTAATAACGGGTCTCCCCAGGGCTAGGCAGCTACTATGTTTCAGGTCCCAGGCAAAGTTCCTTATTTCCAGAATTTTCTTCTTTTCCTCAAAACAGCATTATAGAGAAGATATTGATTCTCAGAGTGGTCAAATCATCCAGCCCCATCATTGGACTAGTAAGTGAAAAATCCAGAATTTGAGACCAGAGTCCAAGAATGTGTGAATTTCTTACAAGTTGGAGCAGAGTTCCGTTTCTCAGAGCAGCAGAAACTGTTTACCAGGTTCCAACTGATAACCAACAACAAGACCACCAAGAACGCAGCAGCTGGGGTGGAAGGTGGGATCGGGTAGTTCAGCCACCCTCCTCCCTCCTTCCTCACTAACCAAACTGGTTTGGTTCAGTATTAGGAGGACACATCATTCTGGGGAGACAAACCCCAGACCTGGGAGGGAACAACAATCAGTGCAAGCAGATCTGGTTCTCCCCTTTCTGTGATAGCAGAATTCTTTCCCAGACTCCCTTGCGGCTCCACGTGGCCATGTCCTAAGTTCTGGCCAATGAGAGTGAGCATGATAGTGGCTTCCAGGTTGCATTCTTAAAGTGAAAGTATGTGACCAGTCCTTACCCACTTTCTGCTGGGATGCAGGTGTGACGGCATAGCTTCTTGGGCCAAGCAGGTGAGGGCAATGGCCTAGAGATGGCAAAGTGACTCTAGGGATATCCCTGGGTCCCTGGCATCAGGGGGCTTTCCCACCAGCCCTGAAAGCTTATGGATTAGACATTATCTACAGGAGAAGTAGCGGGGCACAGCATCATGTGCTTGTCATCCTGGCAACTCTCTGCAGGCTGAGGCAGGATCATCTCAAGTTCAAGACCAGCCTCAGCATCTTAGTGAGACCCTTGGCAACTTGATGAGACACTGTCTCAAAACTAAAAACAAAAATGATGGAGGTTGTAAGTCAGTGGTCAAGTGCCCCTGAATTCAATTCCTGATACCCTGCCCCGAGAGAGAGAGAGAGAGAGAGAGAGAGAGAGAGAGAGAGAGAGAGAGAGAAATATACTCCTATCTTTATTGAACCACTGTTATTTTATTATTTTATCTTTGCCACAATTTAACCTATATTTTAAGTTATATGCTTCCTCATTTTTTTTAATTGAATAAGCCCAAATTTTGCTCAGCCTTCAGGAGGACGTGGCCTTCAAGGGGTCAGGTCTGAGACCCAAGGCATGAATCATCCTCATTGTGAGGCATTGGTTAAGGAACGGATGTGTAATAAAATTCTGGCCAAGGAGTCATGAAGGAAAGTCTGATGGGGAACTTCTGGGAAGTTCTCTTTATTAAAACTTGAACCATTAATAGAACCTTTGCACAGTGTTGTGGTGTTTAAGATGGCAGTTATATTGCAACTATGAGGAAGCAAGGTGAGAATAAAACCTAATTAATAGTCAAGGACAGCAGTTCTCAAACTCGTTGGTCTCAAGACCGTTTTACATTCTTAAATAGAAAGAAAAAGCTCCCAGAGGTTTTACTTATATGAATTCCATCAATTGAGATTTACTGTGTTAGAACTTGAAATCAAAACATTTTAGAGATACAGGACTGCATAAGCACACACTGCCTCGGCACCAGAGAGGGTGGGGTCCTTATGCATCATGTAGCCTCTGGAAGATTCTGTTGTGCCTGCAGAAGAGAATTGGGGCCAAAAAGGCAAATACCATCTTCACATGATTAGTAAAGCAACTGTGACCTTGAGGAACCCCCACAAGGTCTTGGGAATGCCCCGGGTCCGGGACAATGCTCTGAGGACTACACAGGAACACAACAGAAAGACGGGGAGAACCCAGCCGTTTGGTGGTAAGCCTGTTCCACTTCCATAAAAATTAAGAGGTTGTCCTTTCTGTGTAAGTGATTTTCAGTTGGCTGTTTTGTTGAAATCAATGCTTTGCAACGTAGAGACCTAACATAGGACTGGATCCCTGCTCCCTTGTTCCCTAGGTGGATGGTGCCTTTGAAAGGTGACATAAACCCATTAACCTTCATCTCCAATTTGTGAAACACACACAATGCTACCTCCTCTCAGCGCTGTTGACTGTCCCAGGTGTCATTAGCTACAAGTGCAGTTAAGGTCATCAGACCTTCACACCAGATTTCAACCATCAATGGCTCCAGGCCCCGATCTGCTGACGCAGGATTTTGACTCCCCACAGAGACTCCCCCGTACGCCTCAGCCACAGCAGGCAACTCGGGAGCTCGGGGCTGCTTTTCCTCTGCAGCCTCCGACTTGAGGACAGCCAGCTTGCTCTCTCAGGGGCAGCCTTCCCTCCCTGAAAGACCCTTCCTCTTATCAGGCTCCTCCGTCATCTGCACCTCATCTTAGCAAGGGAGAAACAGCACCCTGCTAACTGGGACCCTGCTCCTCTCGGAGTCCCAGCCGCAGGGACGCTGCCTCACCAAGTCAGAACACCGAGGTGAGCGTCCATGGGCTGGGCCTGACGCTTCCCAGAGGAGGAGTCCTCCTGGGCAGCGAGTGGCTGTCCTCAGGGGGATCGTGGAACCAGTGCCAACACCACACTTGGGGGAACTAGCCTGGGCTCTGTGAGGCAGCTGTCCCCAGGCCACGTCGACACCCGCCTCGGTTCTCACCCTGGGCCTTGTCTGCCGGAGGACAAGCCATGCCCATCTCCAGGTCAGTTCCTAAGGCCTACCCAGCACAGAGGTCCTCTGAATGACCAGATATCTGTGTCAGCAGGTCCCCACCTCACTGGAAGAGACCCCTAATCCTCCCCGGGCCGATTAGGTTTTCTGACTTGAGAATTAAAATGTGAAGCTCTGCAGCTTAGGAGTCACCAACATGGAGTCAACCATTGACAAGAATCTAAAGACCTTATGCATGTGAGGCCAGCTCTCTACCAACTGAGCTGTCCCCAGCCCGCCACCTGTGGCCATGAGGCACCAAGGCTGAGAACAAGTGCAGATATCCCAGGACACTACGTGCCCTCCTCCTGAGCCCTCCAAAGCTGCCCTGGCCGTGGACTTCTCACTCCTTCTTTTTCTAAGATATCCTGGTGTCTTTCCATTGCATTCTTGTCACTGCAAGTTTTGGTTCTAAATTTTTGTTTTCTTTTGATTTTTTGCTTAAATGAGCATCCTGTTATTGGGATCTAACACTCATCACCACCAGTGTGTTAGTTTGGGTTCTTGGTAGCAAGCAACAGAAAATGATTGTGGAAACTCATATTATACATATAACATACAGGGCTGGGCTGGGCTCAGTGGCACAGCGCTCGCCTAGCACGTGTGAGGACCCGGGTTCCGTCCTCAGCACCACATAAAGGTAAATGAATAAAGGCATTGTGTCCATCTACAACTAAAAAAAATCATAAATAAATAAGTATAACATACAG